GCCCTCCCCTGCAGGCACCTTAGCTCATCAGGCCCCGCTCTCCCAAAGTGCCAACCTTGAACCCACTCTTACAGACTGCTGGTCCCAGAGCCCTTTTCTGCCCATCAATCACAGCAGAATCAGCTCAAAACAACTGAGCATCCTCTCAGGAGGCTGGTGCTTTCTAATACATTAGCTCTCTGAATCCTCCCATGCCCCTGCTGGAACATTCCCATGTTTAACCAAGCAAACCACCTCAGAGAGGTGAACCCAGGTTCCCAGCACTCTATAGCAACCTCAAAATGCCAGAAACCGGGCTTTCCACCATCAGTCACCCCACCCAAATCACTAGCCAATCCAATCACTAACAGAGGGTGAAGAGCCTGAGAGCAGGCCTGGGAAGGGAAAAGCAGTGGCAGCCGCCCCATTCCATTTGGGAAGGCCATTGAGGCAGCAAATGGAGAAAGGCTTGGATTTCTGGCCTCACCCTTAGAAACATCTGCAGACGAGCCAGGGCAGCTGGGCTCCAGAAACCTCCAGCAGGGACCTCTGACATGCAAGTCTCTCCTTGGCCAGCCCAGCTTGCTGTTCTTATGGCACCCCCAGAGCACACCCGTCCTGCCGTGGGTGCCGAGTTGGCAGTGGGTCCTGCCCCAAAGGACCAGGCTGAGATCCCACCCTGTGGCCCTCCCACATCAGCGCCCTCCCTTCCTCCTCCCCTCCCGGTCCTGCTCCCAGGCCGTCTCCCCCAGCTGGGCCTCTCACTGCTTGGCTGGCTGTCCAGAAGAGCCTGCCACAGAACCACCCCACTGCACAGACCAGGCCTGGTGGCTAAGGGCCTTCCGCACAGAGCTCTGGGAAGCTAGAGAGGCCCAGAGAAGGGCTGTCCTGGGTTCTCCAGGAGCCTGACCAAGATCAACCACAGAACATACCTCTTCCCATCCCCATCTCCAGGATTTCTACAGACCCCAAAGGTTCACTCTGAGGGGGCTCTGCTCCTTCCTGGATGGCACCCCAGATCAAGTCTTGGAAAACAAACACCAGGACCCCTGGACACCAGGACCAGGTTCACAGATGGGACCAGAAGACACCCGCTCTTAGGCTACTAAGCAGCTCTGTGCCAAAGGGCCAAATCATCCAAATACGGTTTCTGTTCCCTACATTTCCACTTGAGGGCCCAACACAGGTAACAGGTAAGAGGGGCTCTCAGAGCCATCAAATGGCAAGCACAGGGAATTCCCTCCATCCTCAAAGTTTCCCAAGGCCTGTTGTTACTTCTCATGACATTCCAGGCTGTGCCCATGTATCAACCTTCTCAGGAAGGCCCTCCTTGACTAGCTAGTCCAAACCAAACAGTGTCCTCACCCTCCTTTCCCGACTTCCATTTATCTTCTCCTTGCAACAGCCACCCTAGCCTGACGTACTACCACAGACCTGGGGCTAAGCTCCATTTTCACTGAAGGTAAGGTCCAAGACCCTTCCAAGGACAGAGCCCAGTGGGCCACAGTGGGAAAGCTCTGCAGCAAGGACCCTTTCTGTTAGCATGACTGCCATTCCCACTGTTGCCTGCCATCAGCGGCTGGCTGGACTGGGAAGGGACCTGCAGACAGGTCAGCCCATCAAGCCCCTGCCTCGCTCTCTAAATGGTACAGCTATGGCCCTGGAGAACAGTGTGAAACCACAGAAGAGTGAGGCAACCAGTGGGTCTCGACTGATCAATTAGACCAGTTGTGAGGCAGTGAGTCTCTCAAGAGGGCAGTGGGAGGCACATGAAACACTGCCCAGATCAGTCAACCCTACCCCACCCCAGAAAGAAGCCTGAAAACCTCCAAGGCCAATGTCATTTTCCAACTCCCTAAATCTTCAGAAGCTGCTCCTGAGACGCCAAACTCCTCTCCAGGCAGTCTACAGGCTGAGGGAGCAAAGCCCACCCCACCCACTAGCCTCCTGTGCTCCTCCATCCACAAAGGCCTCCCTCCCCAAGGTGTATCCCAACACCTCACCAAGCTCGTCCTCCCTCCAAACCTCACACTGTGGTCTCGCTGCTTCTCCCCAGGCTGTCCTCTTATCCTACATGCTGCTCCTTCTTACCCTGCCCACCTGAGACCAACACACAGGCCTTCTCTGCCACTACACCTAAAGAAGCTACAGAATCCCCAGTACCTCCTCCAACCTCACCACTAACAGCTAACCAACTCCTTCCTTACCCTCCCGTTGGTCTCCCGCAGCTCCACAAGGATAGGGACTCTGACCAGTGCACCCCCAGTATCTGACATCTGATGCAATACCAGGCACACAGGAGGTGCTCAATAAATGGCAACCAATGAACGAAGTCCTTTTCTAGATTCTGCTATGACCACACGTCTCACCCATACTACTCCCCCTGCCCACTCTTCCTGCCACTCTAAGGCTGTGTGTGGTGGCATAAACTTTTTTTAAAATATTTTTATTTTTTGTGTATGACGGTATTGCCTGCATGTATGTAAGTGCACCATGTCGTGCAATGCTGGAGGAGGTCAGAAGGCATCGGATCCCCTAGAACTGGAGTTACTGACAGCTGTTAGCTGCCACATGGGTGCTGGTAATCAAACCCAGGTCCTCTGCAAGAGCAGCCAGTGCTCCTAATCACTGAGCCATCTCTCCAGCCCCAGCATAAGCTTTTAATCGCAGCACTCAAGAGGCAGAGGCAGGCAGATCTCTGTGAGACTAAGGCCAGCTTGGTCTACATAGTGAGTTCCAAGCCAGGTAGAGCTATAGGGAGACCCTGTCTCAAAAAAAACAAACAAAAAAAGCATACAAAGGAAGGGTAAACACCGAGTCTGACATGTAGGAAAGATCTAGAAATTCTACCCCAGAAAGCAGTAAATGCACAGGAGAGGAAGGGGACTGGGGAGCCGCACTCATTGGCTTTCACTTGACTGTCTGCCATCCCATCTCTGCATCTGGAAAACAGACTAATGTGCCTATTTCTCCTGTTCTCTGACAAGGTTCTGTGAACTGGCTAAGACCCTCAGGGTCCTAGCAGTAGCAAGACTTACAATTTGCTAGGCCACACGTGAGCATATACATGTCCATCACTGGTCTCAAGCATAAAGAGGCGGCGGTACCTTGCCTTCCCTGCTGCCCTCTGAGGAGGGCATTGGTAGTTCCCTAGATTCAGGTGATGGAAGGCATTCAGGAAGGCTGAAATGCCTGCTCAAGACCATACAATCAGCACATGGGTGAGCTGGATTTGAATTCTGTGCTTAGAATTACTTCAACACCACTTTTAAAAATATTGTATTTATGGGGGGGCGGGCAACATGCCATGGCACAAGTGTGGTTCTGGTGACTGAACTCAGGTGACCAGGCCTGCACAGCAAGCATTAAGCCATCTTGCCAGTCCAACATGACTCTACAGAAGCTGGGAACCAAGACATCAAATGTCTGGATGGTGGCTAGGCAGATGCCTTGGTTCCATGACAGATCCCGACTGCTCATTGAGACCTCCACAGCACCAGGCACCTGGTTTCAATAGATTAACTCACTGACTCCTCACAGCAGCTGGAGATGGGTGCTCGGCCTTGTCTGCGGCATGCAGGTGAAAACCGTGGCCCAAAAATCACAGCCAGAAGAGCACATTCCCAACCTGCCTCTAACACGGGTTTGTCGCCACCTCCCTACATGGCTTTCCTATTGGCTTTTCTAGCTCCCAGCACACACTTGCCCAGGGTTAAAAGAAGTCCTAACTGAGCTCGGACCTCAAGTTTCTCCAGCAAGACCAGAAATGCTAGAGTGACCATGGACAGGAACATTCACAGCACTTCAACTTGGGGGTGAAAGAAAAAGGGCAGCCAGGGCAGGTGTCAAGGGGACAGAGACACACTCCAGCCTGGGACCTGATGAGCAAAGGTGTGGCACCAGGACCTAACTAACCTGGGTCTAAACCCAACTGGCCAAAGGATCTGATAAGACCTGGAGGCAGGCACCTGTTCCCCAGGGCCTCAATTTCTGACTCTGCAAAAAAAGGAAGCAAAGCACAAGCCTTTAAATCCACTGAGATCAAGGCCAGCCTGGTCTACATAGCAAGTCCCAGGTCAAAGAGACCTCTCTTAAACAAACAAAAACAAAATCCACCATATAAAAGCCTCATGTCCAAGGCTGGACAGAGTATGAACTTACAACAAAAGCCATGTGGCTTACTACCTCAGTTAGCTTATCTGTAAAAATGGGCATGACATTCCTACCTCACTCTTAAGTTTCTGTAGACACTGCTGTAGATACATTTTGAGACTCAAGTGAAGCCATGTGCAAATGGCCTATCACACACTTAGCATGGTGTGAATGCTCTATAAACACATGCTATCCACTAGCTCTGGAAATCATGTGTCTCTGTGCCTCAGTTTCCTCAATTAAAAAGATTGTGACAGGAGTGCCTGCCACTGTAGATATTAGGCATCCTGCACAGTGTGCAACACACAGGATGCATTGAGTTAAGGTCAGCCAACAGTTTCACGGTCATTACTTTTACTGCACCTATAAACCCCATCAGGCAAACCCTCTAAAAGCTACCAGGAGAGGACCACATCCCTAGTGGAGAAAAACCCTAGTGAACTCACTGCCTCAAACCACTCTTGGACCTTTCTCTCCAGGAACCAGAACCCATGGAAACCAGTCAGTGTAGAAGCCAATGCTGTGAACGAAAGGAAACTTTCTGTCCCCTTGACCACATCACAAGCCTGGTCATCTGGGTCAATCAGGCACTGTGGCCAGTCCTCTGGGAAATCTAGACCCAGGGCAAAGGCTACAGAGCAAGCCAAGGTTACAAACTGGCCTAGGGAACAGTGACAGTGGTTGGCTGCTCCTAGCACCCACCCAGGGACCACAAGGAGGAACCTGATCTGTGGGGGAGCTGACTATCCCAAGCCCTATAAAGCAGCCTTCCTCTCTAGCTCGGACTGAGCTGGGTAAGGGGCACCCCCCCCCCGAACTTCCCTTGGCCTATGCAGAGGAACAGCTGGGAAAACAGCACTCAACCTCACCAAGAGGCCAACTGTTATCGCTCAACTGGTAGGATCATAAACAGGACAGGTGGCTGGGCTGCTATCAGGGAAGCACAAGCAGCCTCACGGCCGGGGATGAGGAAGCTTCTGTGGTCAGGGCTGGTGCAGCGCCTCTTCACATCCATGCCCACTGTCAGGCAGTGCCTGAACTCTTAACTGCTGCTCTGGAAAAGGAAGAGTGGACAAGGTTGAAAAATCAAGACTAATCCAAAGCCCTTACTCCTCCAGCAGAGGCCTCTCACTGGGCCCCAACAGGTCTTCAAAGAGAAAAATGGTGTGTCAAAGTCCTGAGACTCAAGATGTCCCCAGCCACCTTGATCTGCTGCCCCTCCAAATCCACCTTCCTCCCAAGAGGTAACAAGCAGGTCCAAGCCCAATGGCCTCTCCCCTTCCTTATAGAGTGCCAGCCTAAAGCTCAGAAAACTTCAGTGACTTAGTTCTAAGATACATCTCTACCCCCGGAAGGAAAGAACTTGCCAAAGAATGTCCCATACAACTTGAAGCGAAATAATCTGCGAGGGTTCTGGAGAGGAGAGCAGACATGCCCGTGGTTCAAAGCAGCCCAGTAACCATCAGTTCTCCCCAAAGTCATTAAAAAGTTCAATAAAGGGTGAGCGACGTGTAAACGCCCACCCCTGCACATTAAGTACAGGAAGCAGAAAGCTCTCCTCACCCACTCAGCTTCACACCCCCAAAAGTACGCCCCTCAACACTCAAGCCTCCCGGAGCCCCGCTCCTCAAATATGATCCGCGTCACGCCTGCCTGGCACCGCTCCCCTAACATGCCCAGGTGGTACACCCCAGGCGGCCCCCGGCAACCGTGGCACGGACCCCTCTCCAACCCCCTACCTCTGCAAACACACTAAAGGCAGGCTCCCAGAGCCCCCGAGGAGCACAGCCCTACACACTTGGCACGGTATGCCGCCCCAAAGGCTCGCCCCTGGCACAGCAGTCTCCCCGATTCCCCTCGGCCGCCCCTCAGCCCGCACACTTGCGAGCTCCCCACGCCGCCGCAATGGTATGGCCCTCCACCGCCCCCGGACCCGCGAGCTTGTCCCCGCACCCCCCGCCCCGACTCAGTTCCGGAAGGGGGGGCTCCAGTCCGCGGCCCCCGCCCGGAGAACACGGTGGTACGGCCCAGCGCGGCCCCGTGGGGGGCCCGGACGCGACCATCGCGGAGGGGGGAGGGCGCTCGGGGACACGCGCTGGCGCACTCACCTGTCACCGGCGGCCGCCCAGCCTCTCCGGCGGGGCTCTTCCCCCGCCCATCGCCACGCTGCGCTCGCTTCGGCTCCTAGTGTTTCCTGGCCGCGGCGACGACGGCACTGGCGGCGACGGCTACGCCTTCTCAGAGCCAGGCCCAACGGCTCGCGCGGCGCGGCCCCCCCTCCCCCT